ACTCCCTCTGTCCCGAAATAGATTACAATATTCCCTCACATTTTTGTCCCAAAAAAGATTACAAAGTCAATAACTTTATAGTGATTTGACTCTTTTACCCTCCCCTTTTTTTTCTGCCAGCCACTATGCACACTATTTGGGGGGATTTGGGGGAAAAAATTTGATTTAACTCTTCCTTAATTTTAACTAAAAGAGAATATTGTAATCTAAAGTGGGACGGAGGGAGTAATATCATGTCTTGAATTAATCATCGCAATTGAACTTAATTTTTTTTCAAGAAAAGTGTTAAAAAATTAAATGTGAGATTGAATTGTGATTAGAGTAAAAAAAAATTGTAGACCACTTATCCCTTTTTTATTACGAAAAAAAGAAAACGAGACATTTATTTTGAAATTGACTAAAAATGAAAGTAACACTATTAATTCGGAACGAAAGGAGTATATATGAAAAGAAATAAATATCCCGAATAAGGTATTTTATTAATTCCTTTAAAAAAGGTATTTTATTACTCCTTCTGTATAAATAAGTATTCTTTCCGTTTCTGTTTATGAGATTTGACCGGTTTTATTTTAATTCAATTTATTTGATTGTATGTGCAAAATTAAAAAATAAAATTTATATATTTATTGACTATGTGACATGAGTATATTAATTTATCAAATAATTAACAAAAATAAGTAAAAAAAATAAGTAAAATTTGATGGCCTGAATAGTTATCCCAAATAAAATTGAGAACCAAAAAGAGTCACAAAAGAAGAGGTTTTCAAGAGAAGAATAGAAACCACAAAACCCTAATCTCAGTGATCCCAAAACAATCTGCTCTCCCAATCAGATCTGGGAAGACGAAGAAGATAAAGCCTCAAAAAGCAAATCAATTCGCTGCATATAGCACCTAATCTCCGCCGCGGGCGGAATCACACGGGTTGAATTTTGGGGGAAAAACAGCGGGCCGGAGAGGAGGTAAACGATGGCGGCGGCGCACTGGTGCAGCACGGCGGCGAGGCGGATGGTCGCGGCCACCGCAGAACGACGGATGTCCTTTTTCGCACCGTCGATCTCAGCTAGCAGCTCGCGTGCGGCGTTGGAAGCGCCGCCGATCCTGTGCGGTCGAGGAGATAAGAAGACGAAGAAAGGGAAGCGGTTCAAGGGATCTTTCGGGAACTCGAGGCCGAAGAAGGAGAAGAAGATCGAACGCATCAAGGACAAAGTGGAGGTCCCCAGGTCCACTCCATGGCCTCTTCCTTTCAAACTCATCTAACAATATCTATATTTATCTTTCTGTCCATTTCATGCATCTCTCTGGATTCCATTTCCACCCCTTCATATATACTCTATCATCCCTGAGAAGAATGTGTTGATTTCTTGAATGAAGCCATTGCATATTTCATATATTTGGGGTCTTTTTGATGATTTGATTGTTCATGTGGGTGAGATTTGGGTGCTGCTATAGACATTTTAGACATTTTTTTGCTGAGTTTTGTTTATTTTCACGGGCTGAACGTACTCGAAATTCATCAATTACTTGCCACGGAATTGAACTTTGGGTATCGTTGCATATAGTGAATTCCTCAAAGTCTCATTCTTCATTCATCTTTGATTATGTGTGTGTGTGTGTATTTCGATTCAAATATTCGGCATGTTTGGGAACCATTGCTATAGTGGAGTCATATTGAATCCCGTACGGAATGGAGTTGATTTTCTAGAGGAGTGTTTGTGTTTGGAAGGAGTGTGATTCGCAAATCGGACCCTTTGGTGTCCGAATTGTATTCCTTCCATATTTAAGGTAATTCCATATGGAATTGGATTCGAGACTCCAAAAGCGTAAAAAACAATGGAGTTCAATCTGGAGTTGAATTCCATGGCTTTCCAAACGGTTCGATTGCGTTATTTGAGCTTCTTTTGAGCAAAAATTGGTTGGTTCTGAAAGGAAAGTATGAGTAAACAAAGAAATGCTGGTGCTGTTCTAAGAACAAGTCTGCATGTTTTGTTCAAGCCAACAAGGTTTCAGGGTGCATATGGTTCAAGGGATGTGAAGTGTTTTTGTGTTACTTATTTTGGTACAATTTTTTAGGAGAGGGCAATCATTTTAGCTTCCCCTAATAAAAACCAAAAATTCTCTTTAATTTTGTTTTGTAATGGGAAGGATGTAGAGGACTTGGGACGTTATATCAGCAGATAACTTGCAAAAAACAATGATATAGATATATTTTCTTTCAAATTACAAAAAAATCCGGATTCAGTTCAATTTTTTTCTTTCTAAATTTGAAATTGCTTGTTCACTTTTCATATTGGCAATGAGCATTGTTCGAGTGGCTAACTCATTTGAAAGACATTTTAAACTCGCAACTAATCCTAGATGAAGGGAATATATATGCTATTGACTCTGGAATGGAGCTGTCATGGACACATTTTCGTTCCAATTTGTATACGAAATTGTATCAAATTTCGACTCCGTCCATTACTAATACATTGAGGGGGCGTTTGGTTTGGGGGCAAGGGAAACGGAATGGGATTCCCCGATTCCGTTTGTTGTCGTTTGTTTAAAAAAAGTTCATTCCGTTTCTCCATTTTTCGGTTTTGGATTACCCTGTTTCGCGTCTTTCGATTCCCCGCTCTCTATGGGGTCTCCCATTCCCACTCCCCTCGCTGCCGTTTTTTCCTAACCCTTCTTCCACTTCCCTAACCCTTCTTCTCCATCCATTTCTTCCCCAATTTGCGCCTCCCTTTCATCACTTTCTTCCTGCGCAGCACGTCCGTTTCTTCCAGTCACCGCCACACCGCGTCTCGCTGCCACACCGCGACTCCATCCCACTGCAACCCAGGTATGTTCCTCCTCTTTCCAGCTCCGTTCCCCCCCTCCCACACATGAACAAAGAGAGTTCAATTTCCTTTCTTGTACTGAATCAAACAGACATGGTAATTCAAGGGTAATCATTCCCTTTCCTTCTGATTCCCTTTTCTGTTTCCTTTCCCTTTCCTCAGCACGAACCAAACGCCCCCTGATTCTTTTTATCTTTTTTTGTTCACATTACTATTTTTTATCATACCATATTTGCTCATATTGTGTGACCGTTTCTTTTGCTTACTCTTTAACATCAATATTTATTTCACAATGCAATGATTCCTTTGACCTTGAAACTTTTGGCCTTAACCTTCCAAATCCCTCTAGATCGTTGATTTGGGTTGCCCAAATCAGTGACCTGGGAGGCTAGGGTGCAGGGGGGCAAGAGAGGTTTGGGGGTGGGGGTCAGGTACTATGAATTTTACAAACAGAGCATGAGAGCAACATAAGTATCTCTAAATGCTCAGGTCATTCTCGGTTCATTTTTTGCGCGGGTCAAAAGATCCTTGCTGATCTTACAACAATGGTGCTTTTTAATTCTTGTGCCACTCTAGATATCCCAAAAAATACAAATAATGCGACAGAGTGAGTACTTTTGTAATCTTTAGTAGATCTGATAAAAATTGATTCAATCTATTTTTGACTTGATTTGAAAAATACTAGATTTTGAATAGGAATTATGTTGACCAAGCTGAGGATAATCGAATCCAAAACGCATGCTTACAATGAGGGGATTGTTTTTCTTCATTTTAGTTTTTCTTTTGTTTTCCTTGTAAGAATGTCTTGTCAAAAAAAGCTATTGATGTACTAAAATATTTATAGATCTATCTATTCAAATAAAGAAGAGTAATGCTAGGGGTACACCTTTGGTGTACCCCAAATGTACACCACCCTATTTTCCTCCACACATTTTTATTTGATTTTTATTTACTTATTTTTTTTGAATTTTTTTGCCTTTTTTAGTGGACAAGGAGGGGGTGGGGAATATTTGGGATACATCTTTGGTGTACCCCTAGCATTTTTCTTTTTATAGAAGACACTGAAAATGTGAGAGAGATGTAACCACTTGCCCACTTTATATTTAGAGGGATTTTTTTAAATGGAAAAATCATGTCTTTACTCACTTTAACCTACAAAAATCTTACTGGGTATTCATTAACTTGTTTAGCAAATTGAGATAAATCATACTCTGTCCGTCCCTAAATATTTGTCACACTTGTATTCCCGAGACAAAATATCAAATTTTTTCAATTCATTTTATTTACATATTGCTATAGAAATAAAAAATAAAATTTACATATAAAAAAACTACATGAAAAGTTCTCCGAAATAAGAGGTGTCAAGAATATTTTATTTTAGCAAATAACCAATGAAAACGTAAAAATAAACAAAAGTTCTTGCAACTGTCGAAAAAGTAAATGTAGCAAATATTTTGGGACGGAGGGAGTACAAAAAATCTTACTGGAGTATATTTATTGCTTTAATGGATTTGTGCCTCAATCAAATTTCAGAAATTGTTCAATAATCGAACTGTTCTTTTTTTACTTCACAAAACAAAAGGTGCACTGTCCACTTAGGCTGTAAATAGAAGGAATCAAATGATGAAAAATATGGAATATTATTTATTTTCGAAAATTTTGACAATTATACAAATTAGAATAATTCCTGTTCCTTAATACCTTGCTATGTTAATTTTTGTTAGTCAAAGTGTCAAACTTCGCCAAGTAAATGTACTTTAAGTTATAATTTAAATCTCATCCAATTTAATTTGTTTTGAAATGTGATTTTAAAATATACTCCCTCCCTCCGTTCCTAAATAAACTTCCCTTATTGACTTTTTGGAAAATTAAGGGAAAGATATTTTGGTGTTGGCTTTTCAAAAATACCCTTGATGTGATGGATAAAAATAGAATGTGATGGGTAAATTATTAGTAAAAATGTAGGATGTGATAGGTAGGGTATGAAAAAGTAAGGGGTATAAGTAGTTTTTTAAGGGAAAAGAGAAGTTTTTTAGGGACAAAGAAAAAACGAAAGAGGAAGTTTATTTGGGAACAGGGGAGTAAAAGAATCAAATTAATTTGCTTCGTGTACAACTTTTACTCTTCATTTTGTGTGTGCGTGTGGGGGAGAAAGTGGGGCAAACCTGGGTCGATTCCCCAAACTGAATTCAAATTCATTACATAAATTTACATCTGTCCTTATCATTTAAAATTCAAGAATTCGAATTTTGGAATTGAAATGAGATTCTCAAAAGAGTTTTTCAAGATGGGTTGCGCTCACTGCCGAATGTTTTACAAGTCCAAAATACAATTACTGTTACATAAATCACCAATGGAAAACTATAATACTAATAAGATTTGCACAAAATGTCAAAAAAAAAAAAGAATTTTTTTTTGTCACCATGCTATGCTGCTCCACAAAGTATCAAGAGGAGGAGAACCATATATTCCACAACAAGCTACATTCTCAAAGGCAAAATCTCCATGAGCTCACGGCCGCTATGAACACTTCTTTCTTCTTTTTTTTTTTCGTTTCTCGATTTCAGTATAAAAAATATATTTTAAAAAAGGCAAAAGGATAAGCATGGCGTGGGATGATATGTACCTCATTTTCTTTTCAGTTTTGATGACATGATGGATGGATGGTTGGTTGGTTTTCACTAAAGCAAATCAAGCAGGTTTGGTTGCTCCGGTTGAGACTTCCGCGATGATGAGCTGGCAGTCCCGAGTTGGCCTTGACTTCCTCGCCCTCTTCCCCTTCCTCTACCGATGGCAGTAGATGGGGGTGGGGCAATCCTGAGTGAGGCAATGGCCTGCTCACTCTTGTTTGGGGAAGAGAAAATGGAACCGATATCCATGGATGGTTTCTCAGAAGAAGTAGACGATTCGTGAGTTTTCTTCATGTACCCAAGAGAATTCCGTGAATCGTGGAGCCCACTACCAAAATTCAACGAGGAATGCTCTTGGTTCTGCTTCAGCGGCTCATAAGACATTGGGGCGCCGAGAGACCATTTGTTGCCCAGAGCATCATCGGGACCATTGGTGTTGAAGGACGAGGTTGGTGTCCCATTGTTGAAGGGCCCTGAAGGAACGGTTGTGCCACTAGGGGCACGAGGTGGGGGCCAGTTGGCAAAAGGATCAATATCATCAAAGCTGCTGCCGTTTGATGCGCCTTTTCTCCCCTCGGAATCTTCAAGAGGTGAGGACCGTGGGGGCCACTCTAAATCAACGGCATGACATGAAGACGGAAGTGGTTGGGTGGTAGAAGCAGCAGAATCTTTTTTATTGGTTGAATGGTGGTTAGGTACGGTCGGGTGGCTGGCCGATGAGGTTGACTGCTGGGAAACTGAAGGTGGTCCTCTGGAGGAAGTCCAGTCTTCATCCCAAGAAGGGCTGGATCTCGTAGTAGATGGAGCCGCTACACCGGCTTTATTTGCTTGCCCCAACTGCTGCTGGGGCCCAACAACACTGCCAGGGGATGGTTTTATTACCTCAGAGACTCCGGTGTTGCTTAGAGTCACACCTTTTTTCTCTTCTACCTTCCTGTATCCCAAAGATTATGCGCATAAAGGGTTATTCATTAAAATATCCTTAATTTTTCTTATAACCAAAACACATATTTAGCTCTTGTTTGGTTGGTGGGCTCTTATTTAGCTCTTAATTCTTTCATCTTTTCTAATCAAAACGTTTCTTAATTTCTTTTTTATAGTCAAAATTATTGTGAAGTAATATTGTTAGACATATAGAGGGACTCACCTGAGAATATCCTTGACAAAAGCCATATATTTTGCAAATTGTTGAACATTTAGGTGCTGTGAGATAAGTAGAGGCACAAGAAGTGGAAGGACATGCTCTGTTGCAAATTCTATTCCACACTGGGGGGAAACAAAAAATTAGAATATTATGAAGCAACACACAACAAAACTACAGTTTATTGGTGCTTTTTAGTAAAAATTTATATAAAAAAACCTGTTTTGATATAGAGTTGGCAACACCAAGGGTACACATCAAAGTTGGGGCAGAATGGTCAACAGCGGTACACCGTTGAATAGTCTGCAGTATATCCAAAATGGAATGCTTATCCAGTATGTGTATCATATCACTCAGGCATAGCAAGGCATTCACTCTCACCTGCAGTTACAAGTGATTATGGTTATTTCTGTTTTCTACAGCAATAAATGGTTTACTGGATTTTTGCAGTCATTCTATTGCCCTTCGTTTGGTTGGAAGAGAGCGGGGGGAGGAGGGAGTAAAGTGAAGTTGTATGGGAGGGAGAATAGCGGGGGGAGCGGGGGAGCGGAAGGAGCAATACAATATTTTACAATCTACCAAACCCCACACATCCCTCCCTCCCCTCTAATTTGGGGAAAGTTAAAGGAGATTATGATACATACTTTTTTTATTTCACTTGTGTTGTTTCAAAATTGTTCTACATTATGGAGTATTGTGTTGTTATACACAATTCATTAATATTTTTTTTTAAAAAATTAAATATATAATGAACCAAACATGTACGGAGTATTTTTTAACACCCTGTTTTTCCTCCCCTCCCATCTTTTGAACCAAGCAAGAGCTTTATTAAACAAATACGGAGTACTAAAATATTTATGCTGAAACACATAAAAATATGATAAACATACAGCAGCAACAGTTGTTTTGAGTGCCAACCCATGAATACGAGGCACAACTGCTTGTTTTACCAACTGCAAAAAACAAGCAAATTGCAAATTAATTTTAAAATTAGAAACTTGATAATACATGATCTACTTAAGGGAATTAATTTTTTAAAATGCTTCTTTCGGAAAATTAAGTCATTACAAAGAAAGCAACCAGAGATGACCTGGGACTCAAGTTGCTTGGCAAGGGTCACTGTCTTCTTCAAGGCTTCTTCTTGCAACCGTGGATCGGAGTCATCATAAGCCCGCACAAGCATAGGTAAAACATGTTTTACTAAATGATCTTGACTAGCCTATAAAACACAAAGGCAACCCCCAAACCAAATTGGTACAAAAAAGGTAGTGCATAAATTATTTTCTTTTGGCCTTAATATATTTTCATCCATCAGAAATTATTGCCATTAATATATTAAAATGATATTTTAAATACTTTTTTAGATAATCAGCGCAATAAGCAGCCTAGCCTATTCAATCATTCCAGCCACAAAAAGCTGAGCTCGTTCTACTAGACTGGTAAGTGAATTGTTGAAAGAGAAAAACTAAGACATTCAAGTATAAAAGTTCATACTTCATACACAATGATTTCAACATACTCATTAACATCTAACAAAAAAACAGTAGAGCATGTCAGCAACAACCCAGTAAAATCCCATGAATGGGCTCTGTGGAGCGGGTCACACAGACCTTTACCCTACATAGAAAAGGTAGATGGACTGTTGCCATAAGACACCCAGATCAAACACAAACAGAAAAAGACAAGGTTTAACAAAAAGAGAATGTTAACAACAAGGATGTAGGAATTTAAATTGAGCGATGAAAGAGAAGGTAAAAGTGCGTGTGATTGTTTCGTGAACGTGGAAGAACGGATAGAGAGACAAACGAAGAAAACTTTTGTTCCGTTTGGGCCTTTGGGTCATAGTTAGGGAGATAGTGTAGTAGAAGACTGAATAGAGTGAAAATTAAGTAATAAAGATTGGTACATCCATGCATGTGAAAAAAACTGAAAAAATGCCTTATATTGTGTTTCAATCCCTCCAAATTACTAATTCATTTATCAAAATCATAATATACATTACTAACTCATATGAACTTCTACCTTTCTCTAAAAAACCTTATGCCCCATTGTCTTTACCTGTTCATCTGTTGGCAGACTACCAAAATATTTAAGAAGAAAACAACTGGAGTTCACATAATTTCACAAAGCATATAAAAAGTATTTTTCCCTAAATACCAAAACTACTCTATCAACTGAAAAACTAAAGAGAGATGACAATCATTTTGTGTTTACGAAACAGTCCCCAAAAGTCTTTTCCCCTAAATACAAAAACTACCCAACTAATTTGAGGGGAAAACAAGAGGCAGAAACGAGATCATGATGAGGGAAAGAAGTATGCAACAGTGAAAAGAACATGAGAAAGAGAGCAGGTTCATAAATGTAATTCACCAGATGGAAGATATCAACATCCTTGATAACAAAATAAGCATCCACATGTCGCTATCATATAATAAAGATGAAAGTGAGTAATCAAAAGTTTGTCATTAATACCCTTACCTTGTTAATAATAAGGTCTGCACGCTTCACAAGTAGCAATAATGTCTCACCTGAAGCACTAATTAGCACAGGAACAAGAGCTGGCAGGGTTGATACTTCAAAATCATTTCTTTCCTGCAAAAATATTTGAAGACCCAAGTGCATCTGATTTAAAGAGACTCATCATCATTCAAATGAAACACTTTAATTAAAAATGCACCAAAGAGCATGTTTATTTCATTGAAGTGCCGAAATAGGGAATGGTAGAACGGATTTTAGCTTTCATGTGAGAGGAGAGCAATACAACATCTAGAATTATTGTTGGTAAAAATGCCGTAAAATACAATCCTAATGAAGTATAGCATAAAATTAGAATCAGAAAATGTGCATCAATTACAAACTAAAATCAGTAAAAAAAATACCTAATTATGAGAAATATCATGAGCATTAATAATAAATGTTACACCTCTCATATTAACAAGCACATAGGTATTAATGGGTACAGATGGACCAGACATAAGTACACAGAACGACATGCATATAAAAGGGTGTTTGTTTCAGCTAACCAAACTTATTTTATTGTTTCATGCAACAGAAATTAGAGGAATCAATTTTTAAGGTGTGGGAGCATTTTCAGAAGTGATTCTTTAGGTACTAAAACTGATTCTTGCTTGAAACCATTAAGTTCACATGAAAAGGTCCATATTTGTATCAGTATCTTCTTTATAAGAGGTGGGAAATTTGCCAAGGAAAAAGTCCAAACAATCATACAGGATTGAGAAGGTAAATTAGAGGCACATATCACAATAAAACATTTAAGTCAATACTGCCATTACGAACAAGCAAATGCACCTGAGATTCTGCAATAGTCAAAACCATAGGTAGAATCATAGGTTGCATCACCAGATTTCTAAGCTCTGCACAAAGTGGAGGAAGAACCTACAAATATGATTTCACAAATATGCCAGTTCATCAGCCCCTTTCGTTGAACAGAATCCATTAAGGTGGTCATTGATTAAATAGTGAAACTGCTGGGAAAAAACATTGAATCCATAATATAGTTTATCTTTCATCTTCTTATTACATAAAAGTGGTCTTCTCTATCAAATTCTGCAGCACTTTTTCGAAGGGATAAATATATGTCAATCCCGGGCTACAGCAATCCATTATAAACATAACAAAGAAATGTCCTTGAAAATAATACGGAGTAGCTTAAAATACACTAGCATCAAGTGAATGCTGTAAAAAGACAATAAAACATAGGCTCCAAAAAACAATTAAGCCAGAAATATTTCTTATATTCATTTATCTTAGATAATATAGCCTTTAAGGCATCTTGCAATCCTAACGGATGTATAATCACTTTGTGAAGATAACAGATTCAATGCCAGCTGTAAAGGGGTCAATGCCAGCTGTCACTTAGTGTTTAACTAACCCCACTGTTTGGGGCTTAATTTTAGGCTTTGCAGTTTTCTGTTAGCTAGTAGTTTTGGTTCCTTTATATACTCCTTTTCCTTTAGCTTGTACGCAGACTTTCACAGATGGAATAACAACTTCTCTTCCAAGTTTCTTTACTTTCTCTTTCTTCCATGGTGTGAAAGTTATCATGGTATCAGAGCCTGAACAAATTCTCTAATTCTCTGGTTTTATACATAATCGATCTCTGTTCCTCTGTTTTTCTGATCAATCGATCTTAAGATCTTCTGATTTTCTGCATATTCTTCCATGGCGGGTGCAAATTCTTCTGAGAGGTCTTCCATCGACATCCACAGCGAGTTGTATCTTCATCCTACAGAATCTCCTAGTTTCTTGCTCGCTTCTCAGAAGTTGAATGGTGAGAACTTTCCTCACTGGAAACGATCAGCAGAAATTGCATTAAGCGCAAGAAATAAGCTAGGTTTTGTCAATGGAGCTTCGAAAATGCCAGAATCTACTTCTCCGATGTTCTCTCAATGGAATAGATGCAATAATTTGGTGATTTCATGGATTTTGCATTCTGTTGAACCTGGAATTGCTAACAGCATTCTCTATTGTGAAACAGCAAGAGAGATTTGGGAAGATCTTGCTGAACGCTTTGGTCAATCAAATGCGCCCAGGTTATTTCAGT